GGGAGGGGGCGACGTGCCCACGTGGCCGCGAACGGGAGGGGTCGGAGGGGCCCCGGTACCGGGAGGTATGGGGGGGAGATGGGATTTGCCTCCCCACACATCTGCTCCCAGGGGCTGCACCGGGACCCCCTTCCCGGGCCCGCGGTGCTCTTGGGGTTCCCTGGGGTTAGGAACGGGGGAGGCGGGGCGGTATATGACCCCTCCCAACCCGGCTCCCCACTCCATTCCCGATCCCGCAACATCTCCCGGGATCCCCGGCTCTCCTTGGGGGGTCCCGGTACCACTGTGAGCACCGGCACCAGTGTGAGCACGGGGGGAGCTGGAAGGTGCTCCCCATCCCAAGGTTCTGTGTTTCCCACCTGGATCCATCCCTGTCCCAGCTTTCCCGTGGCCTCAGATGCTTTCTGCATTCCCAGGAATGTCTCAGGCTGGTTTCCTGGGGGAGGTTGAGTCACCCTGGGGCATCTCTGAGGCTCTTGAGGCTCCCGGATCCCAGGCTGGGATTCCTGTAGGATTCCCAGAACAGCCCCATGCTTCCCTGAAGTCCATGGTAGGAGGGAAGGGAGGGATTGGGGGAAGATGGAGCCATCCCAGGGGTCTCACACAGCACCACCACCACCCTCTCCCAATTCCCACGGGAAAACACCAGTGGTGGTTCTCTCTATGCTGCGTTTCCATGGAATAACATTTCCAGGCCATTCCATGAGCAATCCCAGCATTCCATCTTCATCCTTTTTATCCTTGTTAAAGCTCTTCAGTTTATTAGCTAATTATTATTCCAGAGCTCTGACCATATGAAAATTCATGATCTCTCCTTAAAAAAAAAAAGGGATGTTTTTCCAAGCCTTTCTTTCTCATATTCTTAAAAAGCATCAGTTTTCCTTGCCCTGGGAGCACAATTGACTTCCCCAAAACCTGATGGGGGAAGGAAGGAAATAAATCCACCATTTCTTTTGGACTCCAAGATTCCCCCCAGCTCCACCTGGAGGGATTTTTCCTGGAAAATGTGGCATTCTTGCCAGGAAAGGTCCCAGATCCAGTGGCAGAGCATGAGGGCAGCAGTTACTCCGGGAAGGAGGGAAGACTGGGGGAATTGTGAATCAAAATCTGCCTTCCAGGAAATAACCCAGTTTTCCAGGAGGGTCACAGCATATGCCTGGGTGTGTCCCTGCAGGGGGTCAGATGGGGACAGTTTTCCTGGTGGAAATAGCAAATAAAGGGGGCTGAGGGGGTGGCTCAGTGGTTCCTGACCCCTAGTGTATCCTGTACCAGTGGCTCCTGTCCCATCTCAGTGCTCCATGTCCCATCTGGAGCCCCGTCCTACCCCAGTGGCTCCTGTCTTATCCCATCCCAGTGGCTCCTGTCCCATCTCAGTGCTCCATGTCCCATCTTGTGTCTCATCCTGTCACTTCCTGTTCCCTCTTTGCTCCTCCTGTGCCTCCTGCTGTCCCATCCCAGTTCCTCATATCCCATCCTGGTGCCCCACATCCCTTCCTGGTTCCTTCTGTCCCATCCCAGTGGCTTCTGTCCCACCTCATGTCCCACCCTGATGCCCTTGTGGCCCATCCCACTACTTCATGTCATCTTTCAGTGCCATATCCCACCCAGATGCTTCATGTCCCATCCTGTGTCCCAGTACCTTCTGTCACATCTCAGTACCCAGTGTCCTGTCACTTTGGGACCCATCCTGATGCCTCATGTCCCATCCCAGTGACTGGTGTCACATCTTGTTGGTTCCTGTCCCCTCTTGGTTCCTCATGTCCCATCCTGATATTTCCTGTCTCCTCTTGACTCCTCCTGTCCTACCTCTTGTCCCATCCCAGTGGCTGCTGTCCCATCTTGGTGCTGTGTGTTCCATCCCAGCACTTCCTGTCTCATTCTGCTGCCTTGTGTCCCATCTTGTGTCCTCTTCTGGCACCTCATGTCCCATCCCATCCCATCGTCATCATCCCATGTCCTATCTGTCACCTTGTGTCCCATCCTGGTGCTCCATGTCCTCCTGTATGGTTTCCCCTTGGCCCCTCCTGTCCTGTACCATGTCCCTTCCCAGTGCCCCATGTCCCTTCCCAATGCCCCGTGTCCCATCTCACTGGCTCCTGTTCCATCCCAACTCCTCCCATTCCATCCCAGTCCCACCTCGTGTCCTACCCTGTCACCGTGTGCTCCATCCCAAGGCCTTGTGTCCCATCTTGGTGGCTCTTGTCACCTCTTGGCATCCCATGTCCCATTCCAATGTCCCATCACAGCACCTCCTGTCCCTTTCCAGTGTCCCATGTTCCAGTGCCTTGTGTCCAGTCCTGGCACCTCATGTCGCCTCTCCTCTCCTCATGTCCACTCCCAGTGTCAGGTCCCGATGGCTCTTGTCCCATCCCAGTGTCCCATCCCTGCTCCTCATGACCCATCCCAGTGTTCCATGTCCTGTCCCTGTGTCCCATGTCCCATCCTGGTGTCCCCAGTCCCATTCCAGTGTCCTGTGTCCCACCCCAGTGTCCCCAGTCCCCTCTGCCCCTGCCCTGTTTCTGTCCTTGCTCTCATTCTACGTGTTCCCACTCTGATTCCCTTCCATTCTCACTCTTTTTCTGACCCATTCTTGCTCTCATTCCTGTCTGTCCCAGCTCATTTCTGCCCATTCACTGTCTCATTCCTGCCCATGCCCGCTCCCATTCACACCATTCCCACTCTGATCCCATTCTCATTCCCTCTTATTCCCTCTCTTTCCTGACCTTTCCCTCTCTCATTCCCATCCATTCCCTGTCTAATTCCCCCCATTCCCATTCCCGCTCTGATCCGTATCTCTGGTCTCTCCTGCAGCGGCAGCAAAGAAGAAGCCAAAGAAGGGGAAGACGCTGACGCTCACGGATTTCCTGGCGGAGGATGGGGGGGGCGGGGGGGGGCCCACCTACATCCCCAAACCTGTGAGCTGGGCTGATGAGACCGACGACCTGGAAGGTGAGCATGGCATTCCTGGAGCCAGGATGGCATTCCCAGCTCTGGGATTGACATTCCCAGCTCCCAGAGCAGCATTTCTGGAGCCAGGGTAGCATTCCTAGCCCCCAGAGTGGCATTTTCAGCTTTGGGATTGGCATTCCCAGTCCTTGGAGCAGCATTCTCAATCCATGGGCACCATTCTGAGCTCTGAGATTGGCATTCTCAGCTCCCAGACTGGCATTCCTGTTTCAGGATCAACATTCCCATGCCCTAGAGGGGCATTCCGGGATCATGGAGGGCATTCCCAGCTCCCAGACTGTCATTCCCAGCTCTGGGTCAGTGTTGCCAGCTCTTGGAACATAATTCCCACCTTCCAGATTGGCATTCCCAGCTCTGGATTGGCATTCCTAGCTGCAAGTGGTACCCACAACAGGAAAAATCCACTGGCTGTTCCTTTCTTGGGGAATAATGAAGCTGGGAGAGCCATGTGAGTTTTCCTCAGGGATGAGACTCAATGTCCAGCAAAGTGTGGGAGCAGAAATGAAGTATTGAGAGTTTTGGGGACTGGATTCACCAGAGCTTCCCACTGAGCCAGGCTGGAATCCAGGCAGGAATGAATCATGGAAAGCCATGCCATGGGATTTCCTATCCCTGCCTTAGCTGATCTGGATGGCATCAGTGCACCTTTTCCATGGATTTACCAATGCTGCTGGCAGTTGCCATTGCTCTGCTGGACTCCAGTTCCCTCCAGTTGGGTCTGGATGACTGGTTTCTTCCCATTGCCTCCAGTTGCTTTCAGCTGCCTCCATATGGGTGGGTTTTGGGATGATTTGCTGACTCCAGTTGACCTGGCCAGCTCCGGATGGCCCCAGTCAGCTCCAGCGGGCTCTGGTCAGGTGCGTCTGTCCCCACATTCCGGATTTCTCTGCAGTCTCCACCACGTGGCACAGCAATGATGACGATGTTTACCGGGCGCCTCCAATCGACCGCTCCATCCTTCCCACGGCCCCGCGCGCTGCCCGTGAGCCCAACATCGACAGAAGCCGCCTCCCCAAATCCCCCCCATACACGGCATTCCTGGGAAACCTGCCCTATGATGTCACAGAAGAGTCCATCAAGGATTTCTTCCGAGGGCTCAATGTGAGTGACGTTCCAGAGGGTGGGAATGCCATGGGAACCTGGGGCGCAACTCTTCTCTATCGGACACCCATATCCATTACCACGGGATTTTCCTGGAATATTGGAGTCTGTAGGTTGATCCTGAGAGAATCCCGTGATTCCTCAGCCATGGATCAGCCATTTTTGCTCCTCCAGTGGGATTGAGGAGACTCCAGTGGGGGGTTTCCCTGTGGAATCAGGTGGAGGTTAGACTGGGAGGGGTGGGGTAGGGCAGCTCCCAAGTTCAAAGAAAAGAGCATCAAGAAGCTCATGGATCACACAGAGGTGTTGAAACCACAGGGAAATTAGTCCCAGATTGGGGAAAACCAAGTTTATTCCCATTTGAACCAATCCTGCTCTTCCGTCTCCAGCTACACACCTTGGCCTTCCTCATTCCTTTTTCCTCTTCCTGGCATTTGTTATCCTTTGAATGTAATTCCATGGATGTGTTGTGGATTCTCCTTTGGTCCAAGCTAGATCCTGGCTTTCCAAGAGGTTTCCCATCAGGAAATCCATCCCTAAAAAATCCAAGGGATGCTCTGGGGACCCCATGACCCCCTGGGATATCATTTAGGAATGTTGGTGGCTCCTGATACTTCCTAGGGCTCTGACCAGGAATGAGCAAGGAGCTCCCACACTTTGGGAGCCAAAATCCAGCAAAAGGAGGTTGTGGGCTATCCTGTGTCTATGCGGGACTTGTGCTGGACACATCCAGGGCTGGTTTTCCACTGGGATGAGCTCTGGGAGGGCTCCTGCTTCCTTGAGCCAGGTTGGATCCTGCAGAGCATACCCTTCCCATTGTTCCCAGTGCAGCTGCCAGAGCTGGAATTCTCTTCCCAGTCTCTCAATCCAAAAATATTGCTGGGACTCCCCTCTTCCCTTCTCATGCATGAGGAACCCCCTCAATCCCTGGATATCCATGAGTTGCTCCATCCCAGATCCTGCTACCCTTCCACATTCCCCTTTGGAATCCAAGATCCTGAGGGGAGCTTCCCTGCCTTCCCTCCCTTCGCAGATCAGCGCCGTGCGGCTCCCACGGGAACCCACCAATCCTGAGAGGTTGAAAGGTTTTGGATACGCAGAATTTGAGGATATTGATTCCCTGTTCCAGGCCCTGAGCCTTAATGAAGAGGTGAGTCAAATCCCAGCTTCCAAGAGCACTTTAAGCCTAGGGCTTAAAGGAGCTCCAAGGACCTGGAGAAGGATTTGGACATGGGCCTGGAGTGATGGGAAAAGGTCAAATGGCTTCCATCTGGAAGAGGGGAGGATGGTGGGATATGGGGAGGGAATTCGCAGCCCAACACTCACTTCCCACTGTTGTTTCCAGTCTTTAGGAAACAGAAGGATACGAGTGGATGTGGCGGATCAAGCTCAGGATAAAGGTGAGCGTCCAGCTGAGGACACGGATTGAGCAGGGTAGGGATGCAGGGAGAGTGGCCAAGGGCGCAGCCCCAACCCTGCCCTGTTTCCTTCCTTTACTTTTAATTTTCTTTTCCTTTCCCTCTCCTTGTCTCTGCTCTCTCTGTGTCCCTGGCTCATGGCAGATCGGGACGATCGCTGCTTTGGCAGAGACCGAGATCGCTTCCGGGACTCAGAGCGGTTTGAGAGCGACTGGCGCGCACGTCCAGCTGCTCCCGATGCCTTTGATGACTTCCCCCCACGCCGGAGTGACGATGGATTTGGGGACAGTGAGTGAAGGGAACAGGCCCAGCATTCCAGGCACTCCCTCTTTCCCCTGTGTCCTGGGAACCAGCGTTGTCCTAGGATCCAGGAGCACCTGACACTGCTCTGCCTGAAGTTAGGAGCCACCTGAGCTCATTCCTACCCTGAGGTTGTTCATTCCCATCTGGTTCTCATTCATTCTCAGAACTCAGTCTCATCTGGACCTAATATATTCCCAGAAGTCATTCCCACCCTGAGCTTGTTCATTCCCCGTGAACATTTGGAGTTCATTTGTTCTCAGCTCTCATTCCTACCCCAAGCTTATTCATTTCCAAAACTCTTCATTCCCACCTGACCTCATTCCCAGTCTGTAGGGCTAAATGGGGCCTCCTTCTCTCCCATGTGGAGCAGTACCGAGATTTTCCTCCTTCCTCGTGAAATCTGCTTATCCCAGTAAAACCCCATTCCACTTCCAGGATATCGTGATCGCTATGATGACCGGTATCGGGACGGGCCACGGCGGGACATGGATCGCGGCTTTGGGAGCCGGGATCGCTATGATGACCGCAGCAGGGATTATGACCGAGGTGGGAATTCCCAAGGATTTTCAGGGGCAGAAAGACTGGGAGTGAGACGCGCCTCCATGGCCAGCAACCGGGAATCCCCCAAATTCCCAGACTCTTGTCACTGGGAATCTGGGCTGCATTATCCCTAGTCCCTCTCAGACAGAACCATCTCGTTCCCCAGGCTACGATTCCCGAATAGGCAGTGGCCGGAGAGCCTTTGGAAGCGGATACCGCCGGGATGATGACTACCGTAGCTATGAGGATCGTTATGACCGGCGGGATGACCGGATGGATCGGTGGAATTCCCGGGATGATTACGGCCGGGATGATTTCCGCCGTGAGGACAGAGGTGGGGTGGAACCAGAGCTGTTCCTTTGGGAAAAGTTGGATAGAATGGGAATGATCCCTTGGAAAAGGTGGGAGCAATAGGGAATGGTCCCTTGGGAATGGTGAGATGTGATGGGAATGGTCACTTGGGAAAGATGAGATGGGATTGGAAGGGTCTCTTGAGAAAGGCAGAATGGGATAGGAATGATCCCCATGGAAAGGTGGGAAGGACAGGGAATGGTCTGTCAGGAAAGGTGGATTAGGATGGAAATGTTCCCCATGGAAACGTGAAAGAGAGTGGGAATGATCCCTCAAGAGAAGTGGACTGGGGAAGGGGTAGTCCCTTAGGAATGGTGGGATGGGACGGGGATTATCCTGTCAGTCCCAGTACTGGTGCAGGAAAGATCAGTGCCATCGGGATCTCCCGGCTCATTCCCAGGTCCCACCCAGAGACCGAAGCTCAACCTGAAGCCCCGCAGTGCTCCCAAAGAAGAGGAAACTTCTGGAGCTCCCGCTGCCCAATCCAGCCGGGCTGCTTCCATCTTCGGGGGGGCCAAGCCTGTGGATACAGCAGCTCGGGAGCGGGAAGTGGAGGAGCGGCTCCAGAAGGAGCAGGAAAAACTCCAGCGGCAGCTGGAGGATGACAAGAGGATCGACAGACGGCCCCGGGAAAGGTGGGAATGGTGCCTTGGGAAAGAGGGAGTGGGATGGAGATGATCCCATGGGAAGTGCTGGGAATGGTCTCTTGGGAAAGGTAGGATGGGTAGGGAATGACCACTTGGTAATGATGGAATGGGCAAGAATGATCCCATCCAAAGGATGAGAGGGGTAAGGAATGGTCTCTTGGGAAAGGGGGTATGGGCTGGGAATGATCCTGTGGCAAAGGTGGGGATGGGCAGGGAATGATCTCCACAAAGAGGTGGGATTGAATGGATGATTCCTCGGGAAATTCAGGGCTGATCCCCACAGAGAGCTGGGAGGGACAGGGTCCCTCCCCATGGAAAAGTAAGTGGGATGTGTGTGAATGATCCCTTCATTCGTAAGTGGTTCATGTGAGGTGGTGCTCATTGTATGGGAAAGGTGGGATCGGGCAGTCATTTCCCAGGCCTCTCATCCTATATCTACCCTATCCCAGGCATCCAAGCTGGCGGAGTGAGGAGAACCAGGAGCGATCCCGGACAGGCAGCGAATCCTCCCAGAGTGGCCCTACAGGACCCTCAGGAACGTCTGTGGGCTCTGGCCCCACCGGCCGGAGTGAGTTGGGATCTGGGGCAGATGGAGCATCCCAGCCCAGGGTGTCCAGCAGCTCCCACACGGATTTGTGTCCCCCCAGCCACACGGAGGAGGGAGAGTGAGAAATCCCTGGAAAATGAGCCCCTAGGAAAAGAGGAGGAGCCGCCCTCACCGCCCCCCAAATCCCGGGAAGAGAAGCCCAAGGTGATGCCAGCACCGCCTCCCAAGGAAAATGCCTGGATGAAGCGGAGCAGCCAGAACCCCCCTGGCAATTCCCAGAGCTCCGACTCAGAGCAACCCTCCCCAACCAGGTGGGTGTCCCAGGAAGGAGTGGCCTGTGGGAGGTGCTTTTCCAGCCCAGAGCATTCTGTGGGTCCTTGGTTTTCCCTGGGGGAGGACCCCAAGGGCTGGGAGAAGGGGACCCCAACATTGCCAGGGATGATCCTGTAGTGCATCCCAACATTTCTGCTGCCCATCCCTGCTTTCCTAAGCCCCATCCCGATATTCCTGTATCCCAGAGATGTTCCTGTGCCCCATCCCAGTATTCCTGCAGCACATCCCAGAGTTCCTGTGCCCCATCCCAATGTTCCTGTGCCCCATTCCATGGAGTCACTGTGATGCCCAGTGGCCCAGGGGTGTTCCTGCCACACATCCCATTATTCCTGTGTCCCAGCCCAGTGTTCTGAGGCACATCCCAACGTTCTTGCAGCCCATGGAGCCTCTTCTGCCCATCCTAACCTTCCTGTGCTCCCTCCCACCAATCTCAGGTGTGCTCCTGGGCTCCATCCCGATATTCCCAGGGCCCAGGGATACTCCAGTGCCCCATCCCAGTATTCCCAGGAATTCCCTGTGTACCATTCTAATACTCCAGTGCTCAACCCCAACATTCCCAGGCCCTATCCCAACATTCTTGTGCCCCATCCCACCATTCCTAGGAATGGGGCCATTCCAGGGACCCCCCTGATGCCCCTCCCCTCTTTTCTGCCTCCCCAGCGG